TAAAAAGTTGTATCGAGAAAGAATAAACTAGTTTTAATTAAGAAAGAACTTGTATCGCTGAAGTTCCTCGGAAGTAATTTATACCATAAATTAACAAACAAGCAAATACGCAACAGTATTTTTCAGTAGCCACGGTTATACAAGTGTTGCTTTAACACTTGAGAAATAATAAGAGTCTTCTAAAGCCTAACTATTGTTATTATATAGTGCCAGTGGTATCACTTAGTAAATTCTTATGGAAAACAAGTGTCAAGTACCCAATCATGTTATCTGATATACAAATATGTACTAGGCCAAATGTTGGCCCAGGAATTCTCATCTGAAATTACAGATTCAGCAGCCATTTTATCAAGAGCCTGAACATTTACCGCTGTCAATACTCTATGTTTGTCTTTCCTACAGAAAATTCTAGTGGATCAGATGTAAACAAATATTTAAATACATACAGCCAATCAGCAGTTAGAGGCACCCTTTTATTTTATCTGTAAACTGAAAAACCAGGAATGCTGCTAAGCTAGACATATGTTTTTTTCTAATTTCTAGTTGGTGGTTTACTTGTAGGGCGCTTAAAATATAATGAAGAAAAATACATCAAGGCTGAACGGTATCCATAAATTTAAAGTTTAAGCTTGTGAGGCCAAACCTACTCTGGGCTACACAGATTGAATACTCTGATATCTGTATTTGGGAACAGTAAACAAAAAAAACTTTGATTTTAATGAAGCCTTGCACATCACCCCCTACTCTCATTGTCTGCTGAGGACTCCTAAGAGGAGCACAGACACCAAGATGAGAAGCAATGCTACAATAGAAATTTTCAGGTCGACCTATTTATTTTAATTTAATATCTGAACTCCTCACATAATGTTTTACAGAATGCATGCAGGTCCTTGAATTCAGAAAAAATACAAACACAGAAAAAACTAGAAAGTAGGGAGAGTTTTAGGTTTGACTGAACTGACTTACATGAAAATTGGTGTTAACATTTAAGAACCCGCTAAAAGCAACTTAACTTCAGATTTTGGAACTTTTCAAATTGGAAACCCTATATAAGAATCAAACTAATTTCTGGGGCTTTCAGGACTGGGGCCATAGATTTACATTAAAATTGGCAGCGGCATGGCAGGAACCATTCAAAAGAAGATTCTAATCTACTTTTACGTTTTCGAAAGTTTTTAGTTTCGCACAACACCCATTTCTCTATGATAATCATAGAGATTTGGCTGCATGAATTTACTTAAAAATTCATAATAACATGAATCAAAAGGACAAGCAAAATGTTTTTAATAGTTGTTGTTTTATGCGAATTTACAATGATAATTTAAAATTTGTATATATCAATCACATTGTAGGTTGGAATCTCGCAAAAGTTTGGATTATTTGAACGATTTCTGTGTGGTGGTGCTCTGATATCATCCCGTTACGTCATCAGTGCTGCTCATTGTTTTAAGATGTCAGATAATCCTGTGTAAGTAATTACATGAAACTATTTACAACTATTTATTATGGTTACAAGTGGTGTTATATTTTCTTGAAAGAATAAATGTAGAACTACATAAGTAACCCCGCCTTCGGCTCGGCAGGTGTATTGTTTTCACTTTTGCATCTGTGTGTTTGAGAGAGAGACAATATGAATATTTATAACTCCAAAGGTTTTCTTTTGCTTTGGATTAAATGTATTATGAAGGTTGAGTGTTCAAATTAGGACATATCCTTTGTACATTACGATACTGGAAAACAAAAGAATGTGCATCAACTTGGGATACTTGGACAACCCAAAAAACAGACCTGTATTAAGTCGTACTCCAACTGTGGTAGCAAAGTTTTGTAATAGGTGAAAATCCAAACACAAAGGTCAGTTGCGAAAGCAGTCCACGTGTCCAAGATACAGCATCATTAAGAACGAATTTCGTATTGAAAAGTGACAAGTCTCATATACACAAGTTGATTCCACGACGTACCCGTTAAACAGTCGCATATTTTGAGCAGCTGGATAATTGAAAGGGCATTTATGCAAATCCATATCAAGACAAGCCGTAGGATGCACCACCAGTCGATATATGTGCGATCGGACTATTCAAAAGGGCACTGGAGCACAATTGTTTTTGTACTGTAGATGACTAATGCAATGCAGTGAATGATTTGTTTTGCACATGACAGTTTTACGTTGAAGTTTTTTGCATGGAAACTACATTGCAGGACTAATGTTAACATGCACGGTAGTCAAATACAGCACGACTGTAGATGTGTGGTCTTTTTATCGAAGAAAATATATTTACTTAGGGTTCATAGTAGGGGAACTAGGATGGTTTGGTTTGTCCTTATTTTAGCAATTATAGAATAGTTAACTCCACTCACCGCCAACTCTTGGGCTACTCTTACCAAGGAATAGTGGGACTGACCGTCACATTTGAACACCTGTACGGCTGCAAGGGCAAGCATGTTCTGTGATGGGCATTCGTACCGAAACCCGTAGAAGATCGCGAATCGAGGGTCTAACCACTAGGCCATGTCAGGTCACCTGGGAAGGAAGGTAGCATATGGTAATAGGATAAGATTTCTTAATTTTGTTCTCACGTGTAAAGGAGAGTACAAGGTGATCGTATTTAATTTTGAAAGGTTATGAAGTGACCAATGGGATAAAAGCTTCTGTAAAAGTTTACATTGAGAATAATAATATCTAGAACTTTACAAGAGTTTAAAAAATGAATTGATAATTTCCTGAAAACTAAAGATTGGTTTTAAACTTTTACTTTTCCTCGAGGATAGCCTTGAATAACCAAATGGTCTGTTGTTGCCTGTATGCTATAATTAATTATTGGCTGGCTTCTTTTTGTTTAAGATTAGCCTTCAGAAAAGATTATTTCTGGAAATATGGACTACTGACTGTTGTTCTATTGTTAAGAACAATATATTATCTTGAACCATAGTAAGAAAATCAATTTACATCCTCAGTATTGTTCCCAGTCTAACAGTTCTTAAGGTATTTACTTGTTGACGGTACCTATTATATTAGGCATCATGTGACGTATCTTTTTGTTAAGCCATGTAATGATGCATTGGTGTACCCTTGATGATGAGAGCTTTGTTTGTTTTTGAATTTCGCGAAAAGATACACGAGGGTTATCTGCGCTAACCGTCTCTAATTTAGCAGTGAAAGACTAGAGGCAAGTTATCACTACCCACATCCAACTCTTGGGCTACTCTTTTACCAACGAATAATGGGGTTGACGTCACATTACAACGCCGTCACGGCTGAAAGGGCGAGCATGATGGGTGGGATGGGGGTTCGAACCTGCGACCCTCAAATTGCGAGTCGAGTACCCTAACCACCTAGCCATGCCGGGCCTATCATGAGAGCTAGTAATAGTTAAGCTTACTTTTGGTTGGTGTAATCTTTTAGTTGGCTTACTCTTTATTAATGCTAATAAATACCGAGTATTGATTTTTTCAGGTCTGTGAAAGATATGGGAAGCAGTACGCTTTAGATTCAAGTTATGAGTGAGTAGTTCCATTTTTGGTAATTTTTTTCTTCCTCTCACTCATTTCAATTACAGAACTTTCCAGTGAAGAGATGTTTTAACAAATTAGATGTTCTAAACCATGTAGTTTATTTTTCCATTACTTTTAGTTTTTGTTCCGAAACTCGTATTTTGCACGATTATGACCAAAGAACGGATCAGGAATTTTGAGGAATTATAGCGTGACCTCTGTATGCTAAAAGCTGTAGTGTCTTAACTATTTCTTGTTGATACCTTAGGTGTGAGCGAAAGTGTTGTTTCCTGTGCTTAGAACAACACATGAGTGATGGAAATGTTTCAAACACCATCAACACACGTAGGACAAGAGTACTTCCTAATCATGCAAATTACCAAAAACCTTTTCCAGATCCCTGTTGTGAACTTTAAAATATTCTATCGACCGAAACTATTCATAATAAACTGGAGGATGATAATTCGTGGTCAGGAAAACCTATATTATGATATCATTTATCCGGAACGTCAACAAAACAGTTTAAGTTGTTTTCAGGACTACCTAATTTGGAATATCTATGTCTGCGTACATTTTGGATGATTCCAAGATTCACCGTCCATATGTTAGAGACTGGAGACAACCTAGATAAATTCGATCAATACTGTGATATCAACTTGAAGAGCTACCAAGATTGGTCTTTGATAGTTGTTCAGTGCAGGAATTAGATTTTAGACATTTACACGAGGCTGTACATTCGCGGCATGTCATTTTTTAAACATAATAATGACATCCACACCATAATCGAGATGTGAAAGGGCTAAACATGAGTCCAAGTGAACATATTCGGAACCCCCCTTCCGGAATGCTGTTTTATCTCACCTGTGTTCTGGACTACCTGAAAGATGCCCTTGTGATGGACTAAGACCACCAATAAGCCTGCAGGAACATGTGGAGACGATTTCAAGCAGTAGTCAATGCTTTTAACAGATACTCTAGCTATTGATAAGATACGTTTGTTTTTGATCAATTAAAAAACTGACTGCGTACCTTGTATGTTATATTTTGAAAGGATATCTGTTTCCTATAGCGTTGCAATAAAACACTAGGAAAATGTGAGTGCATTCTGTTTTGAGTATATATATAAATACTAGTTGGTGACTAGTTATCCAATGGCTGTGATATTCATGTTGAACAGTGGTCTTTAGCATATTTCGAATAATGAATATTTAGACCTAAGTTGCACTATTTTGTATTTTCATACAGTAATCTATAATGAATTTCAACCAGTGTTTAAAAGGATTAAGGATTACAATAATTACAAAATTGAGGTCTATGTCTTCTTACAATTTAGAAATTTTAGTGCTATAGAAGTCCATATGACATTTTTATGGATATTTTGAACAATGGTAGCGAAAAAAGAAAAAAGTACTCGTTTCCATGCATAAGTTAAGAGAGTTGTATTCAAAAATTCAAAACTTATAAACGTTGTAGGCATACAACGTCAGAAACGAAATCTTTTCAATTTTAACTTTCACTCTACTACAATGATTATTTAAATCTACCTTTCGTTAACTAGAATAATTTAAATTTTTATCTTAATACAGTGATTTACTTACATTTACCTTCTGTTAATTAGAAAAATTTTAAAGTAAAATAAAAAATCAAGATTATATGAAACGATTATGTCAAAGTGCAGTCGAGAATGTTGTGTATTCATAAGTCTGGCATGATTACCACCTAATTGAAATTATATTACATTTCCTTGAACACATCCATTCATTTCTAGATCTCCATCTGTGTATACATTTCGTGTGGGAGCTCACACACTAAATGATGGAACGAAATATAGTGTGGATGATCTCAAAGTCCACGAACTTTATCATCCGAACAAGATCTACCACGATATTGCTGTTTTGAAGGTTAAAGGACACGTCACACTCAATGATGAGGTCACACCGGTGTATTTACCTCAGCCTTCCTTTGTTGATGACGATTTTATTGGAAGACAAGTTATTATCACCGGTTGGGGAGATACGTCTTTCGGTAACTCTTGATTTTAAAATTTTCAATGTTTATTGCACTTAAAACCGTTTCATTTATTTGAGTTTAGATTATTAATTTGCTCTTCCAAACGATGGATTATAATAGTCAATTTATAGGGATAGTTTAATTAAACATGTGATCGATTATTTTAGACAAAGAGATGAAAATAAACAATTATTTTGTTTACTTGAATCATGCTTTTTAAAAGAAGAAGGGATAACACTACGGTCTGAAGGTAAACGAAAGGTTTCTGAATATTCCACATTTAGTAGTTTTACTAGAAGATAGAAAATATGCACATAAGTTTTGTGATAAAAATGTAGAAGTATTATACTTTTGAAGCGGTGTTAAATTTTGTAAGGGCATATTCTAACCAACTGGTTTAATTTTAGGCGTAGGGACCTGCAGAGAATCAAAAGTATAAATGAAATAATAACAGCATCTTAACCTTGAGCTGTTAAAACTATATGTTTTCTAAAGCTATTTATTAGTTTAGAAAATTGGGTATTCAAAATGTTTTCAGGAGGAGTGCGCAGTAAAGTACTTCAACAAGTTTCCATCCCTGTTGTATCGAACAAGGAATGCAACAGCTCTTACTCAAAAGTAGCGTCGTCACAGTATCCACAAGGTATCACTAGAGGGCAGGTCTGTGCCGGATTATCAGAAGGAGGCAAGGATGCATGTCAGGTATTACCTACCTTTCCCTGATATAAAGGTTTTAAATAAGTTATTATTTTGTCCTTTAAATATTTTTGAATGTTTCTTATGACAGAAATGTTGTTGCATACTACACTGTCGATCAGTAATGGTTATCAATGGTCTTCACTTTAGTTTTCGCATTGTAGTTTGACATTACATAGCATTTTAATGTTTTTAGTTGCATTATAAAATAAGAATTTAATTGGTACCTATAAAAGTATGATACAAAAGTTGTTTAGGTAATAAAATTAAAACAATTTGGTTTAGAACAAGAAGTTCTTGAAGAAAACTGATTTCATATACTTGTTGTACTAACATTTTATTATTCTACATTATTAATACCATCGTAAATGGTCTTGTAATCTATAATTCCTGAGCAAGGGGATCTTTAATTTATTAAACAATAAAATACAGTCATACAAGGTCATTTTGTGTTAATAAAATCTAACTCTTAGAAATTTAAGATGTATTATTTGCCAATTGTCAGAATAAAAGGCATTTATTTATAGTTCTTAATAGTATAAATATCTTCTATGTTGTTGTTGAGCTTAGGATTCTTCTACAGTAGGTGTCTGTGACTTGTTAGCGATGAATAAACATCACACACTTTACTTGTTTTTTATTAACGAATCTTCCTACAATAATCTGCCTTTAACTTTTAATATAACAAAACTATAAAATAACAAAATATTCACTCAGAAAAATATATTAATCAATAATATCTAAACTAAACAGTCTTTTATATCATGAAACTAACATATGCAACATTCGTGATATAAAACATATGTGAAAGTTTATAACTTTTGTATCTTGTAACACCGAAAATGCCTCTTTCTTCATGATCATCTATCTAAACAGTGCAATATTTTAATTAAGTATTTATTTCTTCTCTTCACGGTTACACGATTTTACGAAATAGCATAGTGGTTTTTATATTTTTCAACTGTCATTTTTTTAAGGGGATACAATATCATTCAATTTTACATATTGTAGGGTGATTCTGGAGGACCTCTGGTGTTAAAGCGAGATGATCGTTGGACTCTGGTGGGAATTGTTTCATTTGGGCTGAACTGTGCTGAACCAGGCTACCCTGGAGTTTATACTAGGGTTTCACACTATATAAGATGGATTGCTGCAAACACTGACTTAGGACAATAAAAAACGTGCCTTGCTTCAGTTTGTACTATCTACTTATCTGTCTTAACGATTATTGGTAGCTTTCTTAACTGTGTTTATCGTTCTCTAACTTGAACCTTTTCATGAAATCTAGATACAATTCTGAATAACAAGTTACTTTGTCCAACTTAGTTTTTCAAATGTATAAACAGTCATCAGTAAGCAGCTATTTTGCTCGACTTGAATGAACTAGTTACTACCACTACTATCACTACTTAATTTTTAATTAGCCGTGTTAATTGATATTTCACTGTCACTCTGAAGTTATGCTTTTATCTCTAATTAGCGGTAATGAGAAGCCTAATACAGTGATGGGTTCTTCCTCAAGAAAACGTGGACTAATGACACTATTAGAGTCAATTTTAAAAAACTATAGGTTCTTCCCGAATAAAACATAGACTAATCACGCTATCAGAGCCAATTTTGAAAGCTATTAATATTAAGTATTAATTAATGGGATATTCACAAGTAAGTAAAGTTAAACCTTTAAATGTTTATTTGTGAAGTTAGTATATGTAACATATCTGTTATTCAACCACACTAATTCCTTTTAATAACTAAATCCTTTGACGATGTCATCGTGTGTTTGTTTAAAATAAAAGATATATGACTAAAGATTTCTATAAAAAAGTGATAGGGAAATCTGTTTTAATATGCAAGTCATATCTAGTGAACCCTAATAAAGGAAGATTAAGCAAGTGGAAGTGATATATATATATAACTTATTTTTTTCTGTGTATTCGAGTTTTCTTCCTTATAACACAAGCCATATGATTTCCTCTTAACAAAACAAGCTCTTTTAAAGTTGCATCTACTCAATTAAAAATTGAAATTACATTTAATTTTTAGCTTTTCAACATTATGAGAGATTTTATCACACAAAGATACACGAGGTAACTTAATTTCTATGTTGCAAAATTTTGATTTATTAGTTTGCGGAATTATATTTTGTTAAGAAACATTCCTGATGTAAAACATAACTTCTGGCATCATTACGTTTTACAACCACGATATTCACTTTTAAATCATTAGTTATACATTCTTTGATGTACGAACTTCAAAATATACCCACTTTCAAATCTGTTAATTACTGTAAGAGTGAAGTAATTTAAGTTATATAGTAATATAACAAATTATCCACATACTATTAACTAATCCATACTATTAACATTAAACATTACACTTATCATATAAAATATCTCAAAAATATTATTCTTGGTGGTTTAAACAAAGTTTATTATTAGAAATAAAATAGCCAAAAAAACGATAACATTAAATCTTCTAAAATTGTTACATATTAAACTCGTTTGGTTGTTATTACACATTAAAGTTAATAGTTATAGAGATAAAACAAGGTCACAATATAGAAGAAGTGGATGTCTTCATAGCCGATTATAAAGTAGGTTTTGAATTATTTGAGCATTCATATTGTTACGCCTCTGGTCGTTCGTTTATTAATTTTACGTAGAAATTATTTCCGAAAAACTTCAGCAATACAAGTCCTTCA